TTTTTGTATGTTGAGTTATGCCGGCGGTCAGGCAGGAGAGGAAATGTCAATGTTTGGGCAAAACAGATAACAAAGAAAAACAGAGACATTTCATACCACTTAGAACGGAGATGGGATGATATATATGGTTATGTTCTTAAACATGACTCACACCCTTAGGAAAAAAGCCTCAGTCTTCTCATGTTCATATGCCCTGGGTCCCTTTTTTCTGGGGAGAGAAGGCACTGAGAGGTCGCAGATGGGCAGGAGGGGCTTATGGGATGTGAGGAACCAGCAGGGGGCACAGTGTGGGTTAGAGACAGCACTTTGTGGCATCACCAGTCGGTGAGATGTGGACCCTAGAGAATTGTGTTGAGAAGGGTTCTGAAGGCTAATCTGTGTTCAGCAGGAAGAGTACTGGGATCGGGTAATGCTGTCTGCCATGGGTCTGGGGGATCGGGGGTGGGGGGGGTGGGGAGTGGTGATGAGAGTTATCTAAGCAGTACCATCCATGCCAAGAGCCTAAACCTCTCATTTAATTGGGTGTATGTGTGGGGGTAGGGCTCAGAGACATCAGAACAGTTGCCAAAGCCACACAGCTGTTTAGTATTTCACCAATACACATAAAAAAAAAGTTCAGGATCAGGAAAAGAATGAAGATTAAGAGGATTAGCCATTCTGAACATGGAAAGCTACTGCCTTCAAGACATTTAGGGCTGAATATAAACCTTCTTGAAGCCTTTTCTGAGACATTTTATCAAAAGTACTAGGAGCTCTGCCTGGTCACCCACAGATTCAAACATGCACAGAAGTCTGGGGCCTCCTTTTCAATTTCAGAGGCCTTTGAAAGTATACAATGTTAGAGACTATTTCCTCCAAGAGAGAAGTTTTCTCAGTGCTTGGATGAAGGGATAAAGAAGCATGAAGAAATTTTAAGGTGTTATTTGCCTAGGATTAATGGACAGTTGAATTTAAATATAGAATCTTTTAAATAGCAGCTTTTTAGAAAGTTCTTTCCACAAAATATTGGGGGGAAAAAGTCCAAGATGGGATTTGGCCATGATTTTTTAACTACGGCAGTAGTCTCAATGCTAAAATAAACAGCAAGTTATAACAAATCCAACTAAAAGACTTAAATTCATCAGAGCCAAGCTGTGGTGACACCCTGTAAGCAAATTCTTGTCCCCAAACCTCTCCCCACGTTGTCTGAGAATTTACTGTTAAGCATCTAGAAGTTATTCTTTGAAAATAGTAATATTCTTGTGTAATAATCCATTTCAAGTTCATTGTTAGGTAATAACAAAAGAAGAAGGGAAAGCTAGTGGTGAGGTGAAGGGATTTGTTACTGGCTGTGGAAGGAGATAAGAGAGTGAAAGAATTAATGATCCTCAGTGAGTAGCTACAGGAATTTTGCAGCCCAAAGATGGAATTCACTGTCTCAAACCTGCTCATGACTCTAGAGTGTTCCACTGAACTTAGGACACAATAACATTGAGTGGGTGATGACAACAACCCTTGTAAATAAACCCTCAAGATGCCTTTAAAAAGAGTAGAGAGTAAAACAATGTAAGAAAGTATAGGAGTGCTTTCTCTCCAACATTTCTGACAGAAGATAGGAGTTGAAAACCTCCAACAAAATGTTGCCCCAATCTCACTTGGCTAATTTTAGTTATCTTGGTTCATGGCTATGATTCATCCCTAAAGCTGTGAATTGCTGAGGAGGAAGGAGGGAAAAAAATGACTTAAATGTCAAAGAAGCAAGAACAAAAATATAATTTTCTTTTTTGGGGAACTAGAATTCCAGGATATGGGGATCTTTTTTTCTCATGAGGGACTGAATGCTTCAAACTTCTAGAGAAAAAATGGTCTTGAGTCAAAACATCATTAAGGAATAAAAGCATGCATTGATTATAAGTCATGTCAAGTTTGAAGTTTTGCCCCCATAGTGCATTTCCCTTGTCTTCTTGTGTGTCTCCAATACCATTAAACTAGCACTCACCAGGAATCATCTGTAATTGCATATGATGGAAGCCTAATATGTAGACTGTAATGAGGAATGGAATCCCTAAACCAGATGAGGAGAGAAGGAATGGAGATGAACAGAACTATGAGAAATAAGCCTGGGGAATGGAATAGTAGGAAAGAGAAGAAAGGCATGTTTAAATGATGGTCAGATGTTGTCTTGCTTGCTAAAGAATAGAGATGGTTTGGTGAAATTCCATCTTGAGTAAAGAAAAAACGTTTCTCAGTTTATTAGGGGTTCCCTAGTAAATTGGTTACCATGTTGAATTTCCATAGGTTTGGAGGAAGAGAATAGTCACTAGCTCAACTCAGCTCAATAACTGATGTCACTGTCTGAAGTAGCTGACCTTCTCCACCAACAGCTTAGCCACTCTCCGTGTTTGTCTTTATCTTAAAACTCTTAAAACCTGCTGCTCTTAAAACTTCCGAGAAGTCAAAGAAGTATATGAGTGTTGTAAAAATAGGGCCCCGGGCTTGAAAGGAAGATGATATTATGTAGGAAGCAAGATGAACAAGGAAGAGTTCCAATGACTTCAGAACGATTGCCCACAGCCCTTGAAGCTGGGAGGAGAGTAGCCCAGGGCACACTTGTGAGAGGTGATTTCTGCACCTACCTCCCTATCCTCAGCCTCCTCAGAGCACTCTCCTCACCTTGCTTATGCTCTGCTCCTTTCAGTTCTCCTCATACTTGCTTATTATCGTGAGCAGCAATCACTGTCTCATTACCTAAGACCTAAAGTGTCATTCAGCCAATGTGACAAATGCATCCTGATAGTTAAACTGAGGGAGTACTAAGGTCCTGGAAGAGACTCCGGAGGTTGCAGACTCCCACCGCTTGGTATGCATTTGAGGAAACTGAGCTCTTGAAGGTCTAAGTGACTTTCTTGCCCAAAGCATTCCCTCTTTTGCTTCTTCTGGAGGATGTTAATTAGCTCCTTAGCTCTAGTAGAGAGATATTTTGAAGTCCATAGAAGATATTTGCCAGAAGTTATCCTTGGCCACCCTCATTTTAAACCACCTTGGCAGACTGCCTTTATTACAAATCCAGTTTTTTTTTTCCCCCAGACTGGGTATATTTAATTTTTCTGAGCCTCCATGAGGTGTGCCAAAGTACAACAAAAGCCTGTTTCTATCTTTCATTTCCATGATCAACTTTTACCTTGTGTGGCAGTGTTATGGGTTGCATTACATTCCCCCCATAGGTATGTCAAAGTCCTAACTCCTAGTACCTGTGAACATGACCTTACTTGGATAAGGGTCTTGCAGATTTTATCAAGTAGAGATGAGGTCATTAGGAGTGTTCTAATCCGATGTGAGTGGTGTGACAGGAAGAGAGCTGTGTGAAAGCACACATGGGACAGGGCAGAGCTTGAAGCACTGTAGCTGGAAGCCAAAGAATGCCAAGGATTAGCAGCACACAGCCAGAAGCTGAGAGGAGGCAAGGAAGGCTTGTTCTCAACAAGTTTCTCAAGGAGCATCATCTCAAGGAGCATCTCAAGGTCTCACTGAAACCTGGATTTCAGACTTCTAGCATCCAGAACTGTGATGTTACAAGATTTTGTTGTTTCAAGCCACTTTGTTATGGCAGCCCTAGGAAACTAACACTTGCAGTAATAAAGGCAAAGGGGAAGGGCAACTGGAGAGAGAGAGAGAGAGAAGGAGGGAGAGAGAATGAGTAGGGGAGGGGTGGAGAAATGGAGAGACAGAATCCCAAGTAGGCCTGCGCCATCAGCAGAGAGCCTGACATGGGGTTTGAACTCATGAGCCATGAGATCATGACCTGAGCCAAGATCAAGAGTCGGCCCCTTAACCAATGAGCCCCAGGCACACTGGTATTAATTTTTTACTGAGGTAATCTGGAGAGGTTCCACATGACCCCTTGTGAAAAATGTGTGAGGGGACTGTGTCCACTGTTTTAAGATATAACATTAGTTTGCTCTTTAAATAAGTTTCCGTCATAGAATAGTCAGCTGTTTTTCAGTGTTTTAGCTTCATAGTCTAGTGTGTTTTCATTAACCTGATGGCTTTGGTCTTTTTCTCTTTTATTTATTTTGTCTTTTAATATTTTATTTTGTAACATAATATAAATGCATGAAGTGTAGTCTGTATTTCCTCAACATATGGGGAAAAGGCACTTGAAATTATGAATCATCTATAATATATTTTTTAAATGATAATCCAAGCCTTGATATATTCCTAGGCTCTGATTTACTTTCCATAAATAGTATTAAAAATTAAATCAGGCCTTGCTTAAAATAATCAACTTCCACAGTTTCTTTTGCAGTGCTGTTCTCTATTTACAAATAGCACAAATAGAGGTAAGAACTACTTATATTTTTCAAAACCAAAAGCCTTTTTTTAACATTTAATTTTAAGTAATCTCTACACCCAACATGGGGCTTGAACTTGTAACCCTGAGATCAAGAGTAACATGCTCCACTGACTAAGCCAGCCAGGCATCCCCCCAAAAACCATTTTTAAGGTCACACAAATTATATGCATTTAGTGTCCAAATTTAAAAACCTATATTGAGAACCTTCACATATCACCCAAATTTTAAGCATAGCCACTTTCTATAAGCTTCTCCAAGATCATCTGCTCTCTCAATCATCTGAAAAATTTAAGGGTCTTATAAGAACGAGTTGCGTTGCCAATTTAGTGGTTAAGAAAACACCCAAGAGTGGAGATACATAGATCTTCTCGTAGACCAGAAATCTTAATTCATTTTATGAGCCATTCTAGATTGTTTCCAACTCTTCATCTTGGGTTTGCGGTTCAGTTTATGATCTATGCAGCACATGCCTGGATGCCCATGTCTTTGAAGCCACTGGGATAGACAGGTCAGAACCCATGTCAACATCAATAGGCCACTCAGTGCATCACACTGCTCTATCTGTAGGGTGTATTCTGCCCCAGTTACTCTAGGAGTCCCCCACTCTGATTCTAGGTGATAATGCAAGCAGCTGGACTACCAGAAGTGCAGTGTTGGAAATACTTACTTGAGTGTGGTGAGTTCTGTAAGGGATGGCTGAGTAGCCTTGAGATAGCTTTCTCTTCGTGCAGCAACTTTGGGAGAAGGCTTGGGACTTGTGTCGGAGTCACCACTGTCTTCATCTCCCATAGCCTTGATGTAGCTGCCACTCCGCATTCTTCGGCATGGAATTTCGTCGTCTTTACCTCGAGGGGTGTACCCTGTCCATTCATCCTGAGGAACCTATTCAGATACAAAACAGATAATTCATTTTTAATAAAATCCTACACTTTTCTTTCCTTTATTTATTTTTTGGTATGACCCTGAATGTGGGTGATACAGACAAATTATCTAAAACTTCAGACATTCAGCTTTCAGTAATGGTGTTTTACTGTGATTGGTTTGAAAATATTTGAATACATGCAATTCCATGTCTCAATCTTTAAAAAATCCTGTGTATTAGGAAAATATTAAAACCATTGGCTCTGATTTACTTCTCATTTTTCTTGTGCTAATGAGAAGAATTATAAGAAATAATTCCAGTAAGAATGCTGTTGGAAAGGAGAGTTGTTTTATTTGAGCTTTTCAATTACTTGTTTTCAATTGTCATTTTTTTGTTTTCAATTGTCATTTAAAATTTAAGAATCTTTCAGTTTTATCTCCACCCTCTCACACTGTCCATCTCCACTGTCTTCTATCCAATGTCTCTTCTTCCTAAACCAGTTGCACTGAGTTTCCAATAACCTATTCTTTTGGAACCCCTCTTAATTTTGATTCCGGCTCCATACACCTACTGAAAGCAGTCTTTAAAGGTTTTCAATGATCTTCTCATGAAAGCTAGTGGCATTTTCTTAATTTAAATTTTCATTGGCCCTGAACAACACACACACACACACACACACACACACACACACACACGCCCCAACCCTGAAGAGTTTCTCTACTTACCCGGTAGAGAGCTACTTATCTGAATTATTCTTTTCCTCTTGCTTTGCTGCATCCTATTCTAAGTCCCCATTTGGAGGCACCACAAAGATTATGTTCTCAGTACACTGCTCCTTTTTCTTTCTACCATCATTGCCCTTGAGTTCAGCAGAGCACTACACTATTTTATAGAAGGCTTCTTTATGACTTTCTCTTAATTTCCACCTAGATTTTCCATTTCCACATGGACTCAAAGTAGGATCTCATTACTCCTCCATTTAGTAAAAGAAACATACAATGACCACTCTTCTTACCCATTAAGAAGCAACAATCAGCCTTCAGTGTATGGAACAGTACACAGGGCTTAATGAAAAGAAACCAAAGAAGAGGGAGGCTGGTTTTTGCCCTTAACATATTTATAACAGCGATGAGAAGACAGAGCATAGATGCATTTAGGAACAACTCCAAATCAACACATCAGCAAGTTTAAGGTACGGTGCCATAAATGGAATATGCACTGAGGAGAGACTGCAAGTAGGAATTACCAGTAATGGTGATGAGGAAGGAGCAGCCAGGAAGGACTTGCAAGTTTCAACGATAAGGTTAGCAGACATTTAATATTTTGATGCTATTTATTGATCATCCATCAATAATACAGTGTTTCATTATTAACATTTGACTATGCTATGCAATTTGCTTACATGATCTTATTTTATCGACATAACAGCTCTGTGCAAGTTTCTTCTGTATTTTTCAAATAAGAAACAAGAAGTCAGAGAGCTTAAGGAATTTGCCAAGGAACGCACAGCACTGGCATTTAAAGCATTTTGGTTTGACTCCAAAGATCAGAGTTTACGTAACCTGAAATTTGTGATTTATAATAGATGAATTTTAAATCTGAAGGGTTCATAACATTGTCCACGATGACACATACACATATTAGACACAAGTTTCTAAATGTTATAAGTTCTGGGAAGTGAACAGAGATGTTCCATTAAAAAGAGAACCATACTCTGCTCCTTAAGTTATTATTTATATAATTTGAAGGCTTATATCTTGAAATATCAAACTGAAGAGATGCTGATGTTTATGGACCTGAAAACAGTGGTTTGTAAGTTCTGATTCTGAAAACTCCCAGTGAAGTTAGATTAAGCTTCACTATTCAGTTTGTTTATTTTAACAAATTTTTAAGTCGTGCTTCCTATGTGCAGGCAGTGTTCTATGTGCCTTATAAATGTTATCTCATTTGATCCACACAGCGGGGGGGGGGTAGTATTATTATTATCCCCTGTTTACAAATGAGGAAACTGAAGTTATGTAACTGGCTCAAAGTCTTAGCTACGAAGGGGCCGAATTCGACCTGACAGCTCCTGGGACCTGCTCTTGACCACTATTTGATGCTGTCTCTCTGGGCTATGATGTGTGGCACTACGGAACCAAACAACTATAGTCCCATGATGCCTTCGTAATCCATTGCATCTGATTCATTTGCCATTTATTAATCATGGTAGTAACTACAATGTAGAGTTTTTGCTTTAGCTAAATAGCATCAAAATCACCATAGCAACAAGGAAGATTTCTTAGTGAAATTATAAATGTTTAGAACAGTCTTGTTTTCCTTCAATTGGCAGGTGACTCACTGCAAACTATGATCATATTCAGAACTTCATTATTGGCTTAGTGATTACATTTTAGCACTTGCCATTTCTCAGTACTGATGCATAGTTCCGAAATAAGCATTGGTCTCTGGAATATGTGAGAGACTAAGGACAACTTATATCAGGTCGTATCACTTGTGAAACAAAACATGGGAAATTTCTGTTTAGATGTTTTTCCCAAAGTTAGTTTATGGTAGAAACTTGGATATATATGAGAAACAGGTTGCAACTGTTGCTAAGGGAACCAACTGAAAAGTATTTAATTAGAGTACCTCTCAACGAAACAGTTTTCAAATGATAGCAGCTAAGAAGCTGTATGGAATGGAATTTAAAAATTAATACATTATTCATAGACCTAAAGGTAGCCTACAACAAGATTGCCTATAAAATAATACAGAAATCAGTTCTTGGAAAAGTGTAAAGACACAGAAAATCGACATCATAGGGAAGGAAAATAATGTCATTGAAGTTGCTATGATTGAGCCAGAATTCTTATTCTGACTCTTTTAACCCCTAAAGCAAAAGAGGAGACAGTGACATACCACTTTGTAAGGGGCCCAAGTGAAAAGCATACTTTTTTTTTTAACAAGAGAAAAGCATACTCATGTTGTTAATTTTTTACATATACTTAGGAGGCTTCATAAGAGAATAAAGATCCAGAGAAGCAACTAGAACAGGAAACTTTTATACCTTGTAGACAAAAAGATAAATAAATAAATTTGTGAAGAATTGACATGGACAAAGGAATTTGGGCTGGGGCAGTAAATGGTAAAGAAGTAACTAAGGAGATAAAGGTGAATCTAATAAGTTTGCAGAATTCCCTGGGGCCATGTCTGAACTGATAAGTCTGTCTACGTGTTATTCCCTTTTGATTGGAAGGAGAGGAAAGTCATGTAGCATAGCCACTGCTGTGATCTAATCAAAGGTTGATGTGTCTTTCTGCCTCAGTTGCACAGAAAGAAACAATTTAGGGAAAGAAACAATTCAAATGTACAGCTGTCTGAGAAAGTCTTCAGTATTAATGGTCTTGGCAGTTTAAAGGAATAGAAGTCTTGGTAAGGAAAGGAAGCTGGAGCAGATAGAAAAGCAGCGTGGACACTTGATGACAACAGGGCAGCCAGATGGCCCGCTTGTCTGCACCAATCTTGGGGGTGGTTGGACCCAACAGGTGTTAAGGAAACAATAATAACATCCATAGAATAGTTATGAGTTAGAGCAAAACAATTATTTGCTTTTTAATGTATATGCTTAAGCATTAAACTCCAATAGAGAGCTTTATTTTTGAGAAAACAAAATGAGGATTAGTGTGCATTTTTGTTTCAAGAATAGCCAGTCTATAATTTAGACCACATGTCACAGCTCAGAAGTATAGAAAACTTACTTCTGACCAAGGAATGACCATAACCACGTGCTATCATCTTCAAATTACAGGATGAGGATGTTTTCTTAATTGAAGTAATGTATGGGAGCTGAACGATGGGTCATTCTAATTGTAGCTGTTCAGTTATAGGACAGGAGAAAATTAAACATACTCTAATGGACAATGCTTGCGTTTTCTCAGTCTCCTTCCCTGTCTCTCTCTTTGCCTCTCTCCCTTCTTCCTTTATATCTACAAGCATGTTTGGCTTATTTCTTTTCCAGCCATTATCTGGGTGTGCCTGGAATATATAGCAGTGAACAAAATAAACATTGATCTCACACTATGGAACATAGATTCTAGAAGCAGCGCAGGAAGAAATAGATAATAGTTAAGCACACACATAAGTGAACAAGATAATGTCAGGAATCATAAATGGCATTAGGAAAATAAGATGGGGTAATGTAACAAAGTGGCTGGAGGGGAACTACATCAACTTGTTCCTTGGAAAAGTCATTAGGAAAGTGGTAATATTCCAGAGATCTGGTGACCAAAGGGGCTGGCCTTGAGGAGAGCTGGGAAGAGCTCTCAGACAAAAGGGTCAGCCAGCATGGAGTCTCTAGAGTAAGAATAAGCTTGGTGTGTCATTAAAGCCCAGGAATGAAAATGTCAGTGTGACTGGAGAGTATTTAGCAAGAGGAAAGTGATACAAGGAAAGGCTAGGGGTGTGGGGCCAGGTCATGTAGGGTCTTGTAAGCCTGTCTCAAGTCTTCCTTCCAGGCTGAACTCAGAAATTCAAAAGCTCCCTTCAACTGCTCCAGATTAAATTGATCTTTTTAATGAAATCTATAGCGTGTATCCTCTGCAGAGGGGGTCAGCAAACTGTAGCTCACAGACTAAATCCAGCTTGCCATGTGTATTTATAAATAAAGTTTTATCGGCACACGGCCTTGCCCATTCATTACTCATTGGCTGTGGCTAATGTCAAGTTACAAGGGCTTAGTTGTATGGTTATGTTGAAGACAATATGGTTCCAAACCCAATTCACATCTTCCTTCTGCATATTTAATGTGCATAATCACGCAATGGTATTTATATACACTACTTGTTTTATGTGTCTTTGTATCATCTGTCCTACTACCAGGTAAGATGACTGAAATGAGGTAAGCAGTATTGCTGGAGGCTCAGAGGTGTGGGCTCTGCATCTAGACTACCCAAGTTTCAGTTCCTGCTGTGTCAGTAACTAGGTATATGCCTCAATTTTCTTGTCTGTTTCCTACCCCATTGAGTTATGCATGGATTAA